CATTGTAAAAGAGTCAAGCCATACAGAAGTGTAGTGAGTGTGGTTTTTCAGGCCACAAATATGGTTATACAAGAAATATGGCATTTTATTTTTATCAAAGTAAACCTGACTCCAAGGCCCTGTTCCACGAAGTGGGTGGAGGTATTTGTTTCTGTGAGCGCTTTCTCACATAGAGTAGCCCAAGCCGAAATATCTGAGGGACCTCTCTGATATTTGTCGATGCTGGTTACACAAATATGCCCAGAGCTTAAGCACAAGCATTCTCTTGAATTCCACGTAAGCCCATCTTTTTCCTGCCAGGGTCCAGCCTCCCAGGTCTACCCCTTTTGGGGCTCAGGCTATAGATTCCCACAACTTGGGTCTCTTCCTCAGGATCCCCTCTCCCCCCAATCCCTCAGATTCCAGAGACTAACCCTTTCCCGCCCCCCTCCCCCCCCCCACTCCTTTCTGCCTTCAAGATACTCACGTTTCCTCAATGAGTTCAATCTTTTTGGAAAGCCAGGAAGGTAAGTCTTGAGCAACATTTGCTTTAGGCAAATGTGCCTGAGGCAGGCAAACAGAAGATGAGGCTATCTTCTTAGAATGGGAAGAGGAAAAAGACACAGAGTAAATGTAAATCGTTCTCATTCTTTTTTATTCTTCCACAACAGCAAAAACCCCACCAAAACCCAGTATCTTAATACATTATCCTATGATTGAAGTATTCGCTGCAAAACAAGGGAGCCTCTTTTCACCATCTCCGGTCCGGTTCCTCTCCCAAAACCACCATGACCAGGATTTTGCTGTGCATTGTGTTGTTTTTAAAGTTAGCTATCACTAATCTGCGTGTAGACCTTCAATGTTTAATAGAAGAAACCAGGAAGCAGGTACCAAACGTGTGTGTGTGTGTGTGTGTGTGTGTGTGTGTGTGTGTGTGTACCAGCCATAGCCTGGGGGGGAGAGGGACATAGCAGACAGCTGAAATACCATGGGGAAAGTCTATGATGGGAAATACAGGGTGCTGAGGTGGCCCAGAGGAGAGGCCCCTAACCTCTCCTGACAGGGCAACAAATGCCAAACGTGGGACAGAAACAGTTATTTCTGGAGCTCGGGCTGCAAGGGAGGAAGGAGGTGTGGGAAGGGACTGTAAGCCTCCAGGCAGGCCATGGAGGGCCGCCCCCACACCCAGAGTGGACAGAGCCTTTTAAGCTATGTTTAAAAGCACTTTACTCCAAGAGCTATAAGGAGCCTTTTAAGAGCTAATAGTGGAACAGTGACATGTCAAGTTAGCTTTTTTTTTTTTTTTTTTTTTTTTTTTTTTTTTTTTTTTTTTTTTTTTTATCACTTTGGCATCAGTACAGAGAACTGAGTGGGATGAGGCGACCTCAGTTAAAAGATTATTTCAGTGAATTGGAAGAGCAGGGATGGTGACCTGTATTAGGGTAACCAGGGTGAGAATCTGGGAAAGAGGACAGATAAGAGAAATATCTAGGAGATGGAACTGTTACAATTTTTTGGTCATTGCACATTGGTGGTGTGGGGGTAGGGGCTGCAAAGAAGAGGAGACAGGGGGACATCTGAAGACAGTCATTCCAATCCCTAAAACAGAGACCCCTAAGGAGCGGTTTTGAGGGACAAAAGGATTAGTTCCGTTTGAACATGCTACATTTGAGGCTTCGGGCAGAAACATCTAGGCTCTGCCTATTGGGCATGTGGGTCTAGAACTCAAGAGCGGTCTGGGCTGCACACCTGTAATTAACAGCCTCTGTGTGGAAGACTACCACATGGCCATGGGATTGTCTGGGGTCACCCAGGGACACCACGGAGAGGGAAGAGAGAAGAGGATCTAGGACAGAATCCTGGAAGACACCACTAGTCTATGAGGGACTTGTGTTTGGGCCCTTATGCTCTAGGAATGTGGATTAGAAAAATAAAATTTCTTAGTCATGAGTTGAGGGAAAATATCAAGTTGTCAAAATCCAATGGAAATTGTTCTCAATTGTGTGTGTGTGTTTTTTAACCCTATATTACACTTTTTTTTTCATTTCTTCTGATTTTAGCTGCATGTTACTTAACCTCTTAGTGCCTCTGTTTTATCATCCTTAAAATGGAGACAATAATAGTTTCTGCCTCATTCAATAAATGTAAACTCACATCAGCATCATCATCAACAATAGAGGATTGACTATGTGGTTCATTTGGAGGTTATGTGACTCCAGGGGATGGAGTCAGACAGAACTGGGTTCTGATCTTAACTCTGAGCCTCAAGCTCCTTTCTCTATAAAGGGGATAACCATTTAGATGCTATCACAGCGAGATAGCATCTAAAGGCCCGGGCCACCAGAGGCATTTACTACAGGTTCATTTTCTCCCCTTCCCTCTTCCGTAGTGTTCAGTTCAAGACCTGGGCAGTCTGCTGACTCTGACACCAAGTGTTTTCCCTCCATCTCCTCAGAGGCATCCTTCACTATATCACTATGGAGTTATGGGGTGAGGGCAGAGAGGTGGTTAAATATTCGAAAATCCTTCTCTAAACTGCTTTTCTCCGAAGTGACTTTCTCCCCTCTCCCAATTGACCCCCAGTCCGTGAGAGACGTCTTGGCATTATCTCAAGAAAGCTGGACCATCGGTAGCATGATGGGGTTGGGGAGGAGGGGACGGGCCAAGCCAAGCAGCAGATGTTTGTGGCTGCAACTTGTTCCTGAAGGAAGGCCTCTCACATCTTCTGTTCTGTTCGAGCAGTTGACTTTTGACTCCTTAACAACACCAGACTGTCAGTAGTGGGATGCTTGTCAAATGGAAATCTGTGGCCCCCCGCTCTGTGGTCTGGCTCTTGCCAACCTTTTCAGCCCAATCTCTTGCTTTCTCTTTCACACCAGACCTAATTCCCACAGTCCCTCCCAGCCCTGTGCCTGCACCTCTGCACCAAGGGACAGGCTGCTTCCTCCGCCCAGAAGGCACTCTCCTCTGCGAACACGTAGCTGCTCAGTCTCCAGGAAGCACTGAGGAGGATCTAGGATCTCTCCCTGCCCTCCTCCATGGGGTCGTTAGTCCCCCTCCCTGTGCCCTTCCCCAGGCCATCACATGCACCTGCTTATAACACCACAATACAATATGTTTGTACACTAGTCATCAGATCTTCTCTCAGGCAATGGCCTGATTCACTCTCGACTCCGCAGTGTTTTGTACAGGGCCTGGCACCACGGACTCTTGTTGGCAGAATGAAGAAGTGAGTGGCGCATGGTTGGCAGATGCGCAGACGGACCAGTGGAGCTTGTTGAGACAGAGGCTGCAGCTTCACAGAGGCGAGAGCACCCGGCCTATGCCCAGCCTTTTTCTGGCAGTGAGGGGTGCACACCCTTTTTTGCCCACACTAAACCGTGATCACTAGACTACAAGTCCTTAAGTTCTAGGTGCATGAATGGAACTCCCTCCAATCTCAACATCCCTGCCCAGAGATTTTCCTTCACGAGGATACAGTTCAAAGCAAGGAAGGGCCTATTTATTGAGGGCTTAGCATGTTCCAGGGACTGAGGTGGCACAGGGACAGGAGACAGCCTGAAAGTGCTTTAAAAAATATGACTGGGTAGCCCTAGCCAGTTTGGCTCAGTGAATAGAGTGCTGGCCTGTGGACTGAAGAGTCTCGGGTTCAGTTTTGGTAAAGGTTATGTCTCATTGCAGGCTCCTCCCCCGCCTGGGCCCTGGTCAGGGCACATGCAGGAGGCACTCAATCGATATGTTTCTCTCACATCGATGTTTGTCTGTTTTTCCCTCTCTTTTCAATTCTCTGAAAATCAATGGAAAAATGTCCTTGTGTGAGGATTAAACACACACACACACACACACACACACACACACACACGACTGTGCTTTTATTTTGTGTGTGTGCTTTTAAATCCATCATCGACATTGTCATCTTTATAAATTCAAACTTCCCTGGTTCCTCTGACGGTTCTTTCTGGAAGTCTTTGACAGCAGCAGAGAGGGAAGAGTGGGCAGCTCTCTAGTAGGAAATCCCCTTTCTTACCAGGATACATTGGGTTTCCACCATAGGATGGTCCAGGGCCCGATAAATCCCACTTTGTTCTCACAGCACTCTGGGAAAATTATATTCAAAGGGGTATTTGAATCACCTTGAATGAGAAGAGAGCACATAGAAAGGCTGTCTCGTCCCTGTGACAGGGGATCCTTTGGTCTCTGTTATCCCATCGGGGCCCACTTCCCCCTTGCTCATCGCTCAGCACCAGCAGGGCTGGAGGCTCAGGTCTTGGACTGGAGCTCAGAGCCTTCAGAGACGATGGCTGAGCTGGCTCTATCCCACTGCATCTCTCCTGGAGGACAGGAGGAGCCCTAGGAATTGTGTTACTCGAGGGTTAACTCTTAGCCAAGCCATACCCCCAAATAGTCTCTTCTCCCTGTCAGCACCCTGCTTAATCTCAGGTGGTCACAGGCGGGGCAAAGGGGGATAGTGAGGGGATAATCAGCACTGAGTGAGGAGACTCAAGCTAAGCCCCAGGAGAGATGGGACTCTATGAGGCAACAGCTGCATGGGCATCCAAAGGGGGCAGGTGACACCAGCAACACCCAGCACCGTCCTGGGCAGGGGCAAGGAGGGAAGGCAAGATTCTGGAAGCACTGATCTGGCATAGTCTGGGGTGTGGGAGCAGGTAGAGGGATTAGGAGGGGGGAGAGGCAGGGCTGGGGAAGAGCCCTTTGCCTCTGACCTGTTCGGAAAACCAGGGCTCAAGGGTTTTTTGGCTGCTTTACGGTGGGCTCTTCAGTGAGGCCCCCCTTTGGACGCCGCCCACTCCTGTCTGCCCCCTTCTCCGTGTGTCCTTGGTCCTGGCAATGACAATGGTCCTGTCTAGCTTACTACGAGGCAGTCTAATGAGAATGCTCCCTCTTTCCTAGCACAAGGCCCTGCCTGCTACCTGCCTGGAACCGTGGAGAAGTGCTCGGCTCTCTCAGCTTCCTCACATTCCCCAGAGCCTCCCTAACCTGTCCTCTCTCTCTCTCCACAGTCCCACCCCCTGTACCTGTGCAACGCCAGCGATGATGACAATCTGGAGCCTGGATTCATCAGCATCGTCAAGCTGGAGAGTCCCCAACGGGCCCCCCGCCCCTGCCTGTCACTGGCCAGCAAGGTAGATTCACACTGGACCCCGCGTGCACTCTGAGTGTCACCCAGCTTCGGGCCTTGCCTCCTAAGCGTGCTGTGCGCCCAGTTCACTCAGGTTTTCCTAAGCCAGGGCTGAGAGGGGTGGGGACTCAGGCCTCTGTTCTTTCCCACTACCCACCTATGAGCAGAACCTTAAAAAATTTTTTTAAAATATATTTTTATTGATCTTTTACAGAGAGGAAGGGAGAGAGATAGAGAGCTAGAAACGTCGATGAGAGAGAAACACCGACCAGCTGCCTCCTGCACACCCCCCACCGGGAATGTGCCCGCAACCAACGTACATGCTCCTGACCGGAATCGAACCCGGGACCCTTCAGTCTGCAGACCAATGCCCTACCACTTAGCCAAACTGGTTTCGGCAGAACCTTAAAATTTTTTATTTTATTCATTTCAATGGATTTTTTAGAGAAAAGAGAGAGAAACAGCTATTTGTTATTCCACTTTATTTATGCACTCTTTGGTTGTTATTCCACTTTATTTATGCACTCTTTGGTTGGTTCTTGAACACGCTCTGACCGGCATCGAACCCACAGCCTTGGTGTATGAGGACAATTCTCTAACTAACTGAGCTAAGGCCATCCCAGCAGAATCTTTTGTCCCCTCGGTCCTAGGACATGTGCTCTACCCCATCTCCTCCCCCATCACCTGGAAGTTCCTGAGCTGCCTCCCCTGCCTCCATCAGAGCAAACAGGGTTGGAGGGCTTTTCCTCCATTGGAACTGTTTGCTGAGCGCTGCAAACGAACAGCAGGAACAGAAGCCATTGCCCTACCCTCAGAGAGTCCCGCCCTTCCTCCCAGACTGCACACTGGTGGCCTCGCATTTTCTGGGGTCCCCGCTGGCAGCAGCTACAGCCTTTCCAGACGTGGCTGTCTGGTTGCGTGCTCCCCGGTGGCCTGCCCTGGAAACGTTTGCATCCATGACCCCCTGCTTTAACATTTAACATTCGTTACTGTCTTCTGTGTGCTCACCATGTGTCAGGCGGGACGTGGGACTGATTCTTATATACATGGTCTCATTTACTTTTCACAACAATCAAGAAAGCTAGACACTATTATCCCTGTTTGGCATATAAAGCGAGTGAGGATCAGAAGGTTTAAGTCACTTGCCAGGAGGGCACAGCTGGGAAGGGTGGGGCTGAGGTGTGAACTGAGCCCTGTCCAGGTCTCCAACCTGGGCTTTTCCTCTCTCCGCTCTGCTGCCTCCCATTCTGGCTGGGAAACCCCAACACTCGTGAGCGCAGTTAGATGGTGCGGCACGGCCATGTGGACGTGGGGGAGGAGGTCCTGCCCCCGGGCCCAGGTCCCGGAGGAGTTTCCGGTCCTCCTTGAGGGCCTTTCCTAAACCACACGCCTCAAGGAAACAGCCGGGGTTCCTACGTGATCCCACGGGGGCAGGGATGTGCGCAGGGTTCTAAATGTGGTGCCCGCAGATAGGTGAAGATTCCTCCCAGCCTGCCATGCGGATGCAGCGGGGGTTCCTGGGGGTGGGGGGGCGGGGGTGAACAGGGACGCCTGAGGGAGCTGGAGAACATGGCTCTGCTCGGCTGTGAGGGTCCTTAGGCAGCAGGACTGTGTGAGGCTGAAGCAGCCCTGCTCCTGGCCATTTCATTGCCCTTGTTTTATGGGCAAATGGCCTTCATGTATTCATTTGGTAGATAAGATGCTTGGTGTTAGGTATTGATAGCGTGAGTGGAGATTGTGTGTGTGTGTGTGTGTGTGTGTGTGTGTGTGTGTGTGTGGAGGAGGGGGAGGGAGCGGGAGAGGGGAAAGAGGACTCAGAGGCGCTCGGCTGCTCCCCCAGAGCAGTGTGTGATTTCACATGCCTGTGAGCACTTGGCTCCCTGTCAGGACGTGTCCACACGGAGGCTTTCTCTCCGCTCCTGTAGCGGGGATGAGGCTGTGCGCAGACACTGGGAGGCAGGGAACATGTGATCGGCACTCTTGGAACTACTGGGCCTTGCTGGGCCTTTGTTTCCACCTCCATCAAATGGGGCTTTTATTTCCTGCCCCATTGGTTATGGTGAGGATTGAAAATAGTGTGTGTTAAGCAACAAGTGGTGCCTGAGCTGAAGCAAACAAACAAATATCTAGGGACTAAGCACCGGGGCCGCTGTCCTGTGACCTTGTCTTTCTCAGCCTCTGCGGTCACTGTCCGCGCTTTCTCCACGCCCTGCTCCCACCGCACTCCCCCCCCCCCCCGCCCCCCAGCTTCTCACCGGGCAGCCCCCATCCCTGGGCGAGAGCCTCATAGGCACGGCTCCAGTCCCAACCTGCCCCACCAGTCAGGGACAAGGATTCCTTCAGGTCTCAACCTTTGGCCTGACCGAGTAGCTCCTACCTGGGATCCCCTGGCCCAGAGGAGGTCTGTGAAGGTAGTCATGTGGGCCTTTGAGCTCCTCCCGATATTTTAGAGCCCCACAGCCTTCACTGAAATGTCCCATTTTTGCTTTTGGTTGGAATTCCGTTCAATGTGTTCATACAAGTTATCTCATAGGAAAATGTGATATAGATATACAAGTGCAACTAATCAGGTAAAAAAAAAAATGTATTTTTTAAAATAGCTCAAGAGGGCACCGATGAAGGATGGGCCTTTGGTAAGGAAAGTGTGGAAACCACTAACCTCAGTCGCTTTGCTCTGACCTATTGGTTAGTGTCAGTGGTTCCATCCCCATGGGCAGCTGAGGTTCTTGAACCAGGCATCCCAGGGCCTGAAGCCTGGCGTCTCACTGCCCCTCAGTGTTACCTGGACGTTTTAGCTCACCTCTCAGAACCCCTGTTTCCTGTCTGTAAAAGAGGAGTGATGATGGGATTTCCATCACAAGGCAGTGACAGTCCAGATGGAAGCTTTTAGCCTTAGGCCAAGCACGTAAACCACTCAATAAACCATTGAAGCATCGCTGTTGTCGTCATCACATCATGCTTTCATAGTGATGAGGTTGGGTTTTTTCTTTCACTACTCTCTCTTGATCTCTGAAACCCTCACTACAATTCTTCTGGGAAAATGCCCTTCATTTATTCATTTGGTAGACAATATGCTTGGTGTTAGGTAGTGATAACGTGAATGAAGATAGTGCGTGTGTGTGTGTGTGTGTGTGTGTGTGTGTGGAGAAGGGGGGAGGGAGCAGAAGAGGGGAAGGAGGGCTCAGAGATGTGATTTCACATGCCTGTGAGTACTTGGCTCCCTGTCCATTCTTGTCACCACCACTCCCTCTCCCCCTACCCAGTCACCCAAACTGCTTGCTGTGTCTTTTTGAACAACTCCACAGCCATTCTCATGATTACCCAGGCCTCTGTCACCTCTAGTCTAGTGCCCGGACTAGAGCAGTGGCCTTCTGCCTGGTGGAAGGAGCTGGCTCTGGGGGCAAGTAGATGGACACAAACCCTGCCTCCCTTACTATAGAGACCACTGTCTGGTAACCGGGCACTCACCAGGCGAAGTCCTGGGTCTCCCCAACTCAAAAGAGGGGCCGATGACCACCTTTCCAAGTTGTTTTGAGGAGTAAATGAAATCATGAGGGGAAAAAAGAAAAGAAAGAAAGAAATCATGGACACAAAGGATGTAATAATAACCAATAACTAAGGGATGTGTCGTGCCAGGCACTATTAAAGGCTTTACATGGGTTAAGTTATATAATCCTTACAACACCCCTGCGAAGTAGGTCCTACGCCTACCCCCAGTTTACAGAAAGGATAACTGAGGCACAGAACAGTTAAGTGATTTGCCTAAAGTGTCACAGGTAATAATTAGTAGCAAATTCAGGACTCAGACCTAAGCAGTCTGGGTAGAGTGGGTCTCAATAAAGGTTCTATCTCTTCTACTTCCTCCTCCTCCAAGCCCAGATGAATTTTCTCTTCCTTCTACTGGGTCATTCCTGATGGGCCCAGCCTAGCTCGCCCACTAGGAACAACAATCTCTCCCTCCTGGCACACTGCCAGGGTCTCTGGCTGTTCTTTCCGCACCAGGTTTCATGGAAGCGCCTTGGGGATTGGGGAAACCAAGTGCCCATCTTACTCCTACCCTCAACTGCAGCTCACTTTTATCTGTTTCGTGTATTGAAGATTGTGTCAGATTGTGTGTGTGTGTGTGTGTGTGTGTGTGTGTGTGTGTGTGTGTGTGTGGAGGCGGGGGAGGGGGCGTTGGGGGGTGGGGTAGTGGAGAGAAGGGCTCTCTGCAGTGAAAAAAAGGTTTGGAAAATGATTATTTTATTCATCTGTGCTCAAGAATGTGGTCATCACCGGCCTGTGTGGCTCAGTGTTTGAGTGTTAACCTTGAACCAGGAGGTCGCAGTTTGATTCTCAGTCAGGGCACATGCAGGCTCAAACCCCAGAGAGGGCCTGCAGGAGGCAGCGGATCAATGATTCTCTCTTGCCATTGATGTTTCTATCTTTCTTCTCCCTCTCTCTTCCTCTCTCTGAAATCAGTTTAAAAAAACACATATAAAACAAAAGACAAAAATGAGAGGTGAAAAAAACACACGTGGTCATCAGTGTTATAACATTTTTTTCTTTGTTTTTAGCACTATAATTTTATGTATTATGCCCTATTCCAACAGCTAGATTATGAGTTGGTCTTGAGGCCTGGCTTTCCCTGTCTTGATGCCCTGCGCACAGCAGGTGCTCAATCTCTGATGAGGAGGAGATGTACTGAGGCTGTCACTGTGTCTGGGGAGGAAGATCAAAGGCCCAGGAGAGTGCAGAGTGCAGTATGGAAGCCCAGAGCTGCATTGACTCCCGTCGATGGAGGCTGTGGGCAGCCTTGCTTGCTCCCTCTGGGGGTCTGGCTGACTCTTTGCAGCTCCCAAATGCCTCTGGGTTGTCTTTCTAAAGCCCAGTCTTCCATTCCTTTCTGCCTTTCAGATTATAGCTCCCGAAGAGGTGCTTCTTCTCCCTCTCTCCTTCTCTCTCTCCCTCTCTCCCTCCCTCCCACTGACAGGAGGGAACATGGGCAGCCCAGAGGCCCGTAAGCTTGCTTTTTGATTCCTAGAACTCTAGACACAGGCACCCTCTGCCTGAAAGTCCTTTTTGTTTCCCCTCTTGGCCAACTTTCTCTTTGATCACTTTTACGACTTCATAATTATGGGCTGTAATGGGCTGGGGTGTTTGAACAGCAGGGCAATTACTTTCCACTGTTTCTACCCCAATCCTTCAAAGAGAGAGAGGTGGGAAGTAAAATAAAAAAAATAAAAAAAGGGGGAGTCTGTGACCTTCCCTCATGCTGTTCCAGGTAGGGCCGGTCCAGGCTCTCGTACTGGGGAAGAGAAACGTGAGGCCCGGGCAGCACGGGAGGATCCGGGACTCTCCGTACTGGGGAGACTGGGATGACCTCCCTGCCCGTTGACCAAGCCTGGACTCTGAGATTAGCTGTAGGAGTCCCCCTCCTTTTCCCCTGTGGCCGCTCCCACACCCTGGCTTGGGGGAGGGAGGGTTGTTGGGGGGGGGGGGACTTCCTGGGTGGAAGTGGGCAGAAGCAGAAGAAGGCTGTGACCTCTCTATGTCATCAGTAACTCCATTCCAGAGTCGCGGAGTCCCGTGAATTTCCAGTCAATTAGCCCGGCAACTTGGCCTGGGCTGGGCCTGGGCGCTGGTGGAGGCCCCAGCTCAGCTTCCCTGCGAGAGGAGAGAAGGGGAAAGTTACCCTCCTGACCAAAACAGGGTGTCTCCTGGGCTCCCCTGCCTACAGGCGGCCTATTCTGAGGGGCCCCTGGCCTTGCTGCCACCTGGGGAGCAGGGAGCAGGGAGCAGAGTGGCCGCTCCCGGGCCTGCCTGGCAGGAGACCTGCCCCGACAGGCTCCCCGCAGGAAGGGAAGCAGAGATCAAAGCTCCGAGAGTGTGAGTAAGCCCCAGCACTGCTCCCCTTCCTGCCACCGCTGCTTACAGGAGGATTAACTCCTTCAGTACCTCAGGAGGCCCCACACTCAGCAGGCCCCCAGGAGCATGAGGGCCGGGCCTTTGCTGTAGGGAGGAAGTCTGGAGGTGGCTGTGCAGGGCAGGGAGACCTGACACGAAGGCCAGAAGCAGTGTCTGTCTGTCGGTCCTTTGCCCTGTGTCCCCTCCCCGTCCTCAGCTCTTATCGCCCTTCTCTTACCCCACACCCAGAGCCCCGAGATCCCTGCTTTTTGTTCTCTTTCTGGCTCTGCTCTCTTCCCCGCCTGGTTGGCTAGATTCCGCTTTCCCCAAGCCTGCTCCGGGTGCCTTGGCGAGCGTGCCTGTGCACATGTGTGCAGCGTGTCCTGCGGGAGCAGCCTCTCAGGTCCCTCCCTGCTGAGTTTCTGGTGCTACCTCTCAGGGAGGGGATGAAAGGATAAGGCACTGGACTCCGTCAAGTCCTTGAATTTGGCGTCGAAGGAAGAACTGGCAAACCAGAGGTGGCAGGGGGAGAGCCCATGAGGCGGCTGAGCCTGGGGCTCTGCATGGAAACCTCGGGGAGGAGCAGTGTCTCAGGTTCTTGGGGAACTTTGCCTGCACTGGGGGACACCCTCCCCCCTACCCCCACCCCCGCAAATTCCTCCTGTCAGGCAGGGCTGGACTCTGGAAAGCCCAGCTCTATTCAGAAGCAGCTGTCCACCTCTCTGCTCTCCCCAGTCCCTCTGTACTGGGGACTGGTCACCCTCAGGCCCTGGGCTGCTGGCCACTCCCCACTCTGTGCCCTCACTCTTAGTGAAGGCAGACTGGTGAGACCCTGAGGACCGGGGCTGCCTTATTTGGGCCTCGCCTTAGAGCCTTTGGAGCACCCGATACCTACTAACCCTCCTTAAGGGTTTGTGCATTCGGAAAGGAAGGCCTGAATGTTGTCCCTGAAGGCAGTAGGACCTGGGTGAACTCAGGGTAGGCTAGGGAACCCCAGTTCCACTAACCCCTTACAGGTGAGTGTGCAGGGCTGCGGTGTGTACAGGGTCCTGGAAAGGGGCGGATGTGGGAGGAGGTAAGGTGGGGTGTGGATGGGCTGTGTCCTTCTCTGACCCCCAGCTAGACCTCTGCCGTGTGTCTCTGCAGGCCCGAATGGCAGGTGAGCGAGGAGCTAGCGCCGTCCTCTTTGACATCACCGAGGACCGAGCCGCTGCGGAACAGGTACCCAGGGACATTGGGGTGTTGGAGGAGGGGCTGGCCAGAGGAAGGCAAAGTGACGGGGGGCGGGGGGGGGGGGCGCAGAGAAGTCAGGACACAGCAGCCCCTGTGGGCACTTTCCTTCCGCAGCTGCAGCAGCCGCTGGGGCTGACTTGGCCAGTGGTGTTGATCTGGGGTCATGATGCCGAGAAGCTGATGGAGTTTGTGTACAAGAACCAGAAGGCCCACGTGAAGATTGAGCTGAAGGAGCCCCCGACCTGGGTAAGCACTGCCAGTCTCCTGCCCCAGCACCTGCTCTTACCCTCACTTTGCCCCATGGCATCTCCCACCGAAAGCCCCTATACTCCTGGGGAGACTTCCGAAACCCCCTAGTCCGATGTCCTCCACCAGCTGTGTGTCTCCAAGGCACTTTCTCTTCCCCTCTGGGGCCTCCTCTGCAGAGAGGGCCAAGGGGAGTTTTAACGCTTTTAGCTCTGTGGTTTTGTGGCAGAGAGAAGCAGAGCCAGAATGAAACCTTGACCCCTCAGCCCCCTGAGAACCCTGGCTGGTGTTTCTCTGCTGGCTGGGAGCCTCGCCCAGCTGCTCCTGAGGTAGCTCCCTCCTCTCAGAGGGGTCTCTCTCCCACTCCCCCCAAGCACGCGGGTCTTCAGAGAGTGCCTCTCACAGCTGGCATCTGGAGGACCTTCTCCTACAAGTGAGTGCCTGTGGACAGGAGGAACCACCTAGCCCCACCTGCAGGTGCTTCCTACCCAGCCTCTCTGCTAGAAAACTCCAGGGGACCTTTAGCAGCCTTCATGACACGTCACCCGGGCTCCCATGTTCTGCCAAGTTGACCCAGCTTCCTACCAGAATGTGACCCTTTCCCTCTCGGTTCGCTCCCCCAGCCAGATTACGATGTGTGGATCCTCCTGACGGTGGTGGGCACCATCTTTGTAGTCATCCTGGCTTCGGTGCTGCGCATCCGGTGCCGCCCACGCCACAGCAGGCCGGTGAGCAGGGTGGGCTCCCTGGTGGAGGTGGGCGTGTGCATGTGTGGGGGAGGGTGGGGTGAGGAAAGAGGTTGCCTTTATGCCATGAAACAGTTTACATCTGAACAGACTGGCATTGAACTTCGGTGATTTCCAGCAGCCTCTCTCCGTAGGTTTGCGCATTCATTTGATAAATACAGGGAGCCCCCTCCTGTGTGTCAGGCACTGTTTCAGGGACTGGGAGTAGCACAGGGAACAAAAAAGACAACAGATCCCTTCCCTCAGGAGCTTTCATTCTCGTGGGACGAGACAGACAATGAACAAAATAAAGAAGTAAAATGCATAATATTTTAGATGGTCATATGTCCTAGGGGGGGGGTGGGGGATAAAATAGAAAGGAGGACAGGCAAGGCAAAGGGGACAGAGTGAAAAAGTAAGGCCAGGGCCCTAGCCGGTTTGGCTCAGTGGATAGAGAGCATTGGCCTGTGGACTGAAGGGTCCCAGGATCAATTCCTGTCGAAGGCACATGCCTGGGTTTTGGGCTCGATCCTCAGTAGGGAGTGTGCAGGAGGCAGCCTATCAATGATTCTCTCTCATCATTGATATTTCTATCTCTCTCTTACTGTCCCTTTCTCTCTGGAATCAATAAAAATATAAAAATAAGAAAGAAAGATGCTTTTCTTGGTGGGGGGGGATAAGTAAGGCCAGGAAGCCTCATTGAGAAGATGCCATTACAGGAAAGACCCTAAATGGGTGAGGGGTTATCTGTGCAGGTATCTGGGGACAGCATGATTGAGTGAAGAAAGCAGTAAGTCAAGGCCTTGAGGCAGAGCCTGTGGGAGTGATTGCAAGGGAGTGAGAGGGCCATGCAGGAGTCACGAGGGCCAGTTGCATTGGGCTGTGTAGACCATTGTCAAGATTGTGTTTTCATCCTGGGTGAAATGAGAGCCATTGGAGGGTTTCTCACAGAAGGAGTGCCAGGATCTGACTTGAGTTTTAATATGATCCCTCTTGCTGCCTTGAGAAACTAGATTACAGTGAGGCAGGGCTGGAAACAAGAGAAACCGATGAAGAGGCTCTTACAGGAATCCAGGTGATGGTAATGGTAGCTTGGGTTAAGGAGGTAGCAGGGAAAGAGGTGTCAGTTAGTTAAATGCTCCGAAGGTAAAGCTACAGGCTTACTAGTGGGGTGATCATGGAGTGTGAGAGAGAGGAGTCCAGAATGGCACCAAGATTTTTGGCCTGAGCAATTAAAGGAATGGAATTGCCATTGACTGAGATGAGAAAGACTAGGGGAGGGCAGGTATGTGGTTGGGAGTGTTCACTGGGGCTAGGGAATTCTGTGTGTGACACAGTGGGGTGTTTGGGGAAGAAGCTGGACAAAGTTTGAGGTGCCAATTAGATATCCAAGTTGAGATGTTAAGCAGGCAGTTGGATAAAAACTCTCTCCATCGGGTCATCAAGGGAAGGGAAGCTTGATGAGTGGGGGAGTGGGGTGGGAGCGCTTGGCCTGCTTGGCAGAGCCATATATGAACTCAAATGTGACAAACTTTTGAAGGTAGTCAATTGACCACATGATCTACCAGGAATTGAGTACAAGCTGGGGCCCAGGGGTGAGGGAAAAGGATCCCTTACCCATTCTGAGCCCTACCCTTCTTCCCAGGATTCCCTTCAGCAGCGAACAGCGTGGGCCATCAGCCAGCTGGCCACCAGGAGATACCGGGCCAGCTGTAGGAGGACACGGGCTGAGTGGCCAGACTCAGAGAGCAGCTGCAGCTCAGCCCCTGTGTGTGCCATCTGCCTGGAGGAGTTCTCTGAGGGCCAGGTAAGGCAGACACCATGGCTCACCTCTGTGACCAGGCTGGGGAGGGAGACTAGAGCTTGGGGGAGGAGGCTGGTGTGGGTGTTCTGGCTGCATCTGTGTCCTTTGTATCATGCAAGGAGCAGAGGTAGGGGGCATCCTGGAGGTTTAGTTATTTTCCTGGTCTTCCAGGAAAGAGAACTGTTGTTTGTTGAGCGTGTACCATGTGCCAGACTCTGCAGTGGGTGCTTTAGATGCATTATCTCTTTTTAGCCTCATGACCATGAGGGGTGAGGGTAGATTAGTTTTTTTAATCCTTTTGTACAGCAGACAACTGTTAAGAAACTTGTCCAAGGTCATGCAGCTAAGTGGTAAAATCCAGGTCTACTTTATACCAAAGCCCACACCTTGCCTATTCCACTAGGAGGTCTTTGAAAGTAGGTGATAGAAAAAAAAGGAGAGGCCAGAGGAAGCTAGGGGGATGTTCCGGTTCCTGGCCATTCATGTAGCTACCGATAACTTTGGTGTGGCCCTTTTTGTTTTCTCCAGGAGCTGCGAGTCATTACCTGCCTCCATGAGTTCCATTGCGCCTGCGTGGACCCCTGGCTGTATCAGCATCGGACTTGCCCCCTCTGCATGTTCAACATCGTAGGTAGGAGGTGGACCAAGATCTGCCCTCTGTACAGGCAGACGGGTCTAGAACAGGGATGGGGAACCTTTCTTCTGCCAGGGGCCATGTGGATATTTATAGCATCATTCGCAGGCCATACAAAATTATCAACTTAAAATTAGTCTGCTATATTTGGTCAAACATTCAATTAACGCACCCCTAATGCCTCGACAGGGCCAGACCACGTGATGTTTCGGGCCTTATCTGGCCCAGCGACTGGAGGTTCCCCATCCCTGGTCTGGAACCTGGCTTCCCTGTGGGGAAGGGTTTCCCTTGACGCTGGGAGGAAGCAGCACTGCCACCATGGTTCTCTGAGCTGCACACTGTTCGGGAGTGTCTTGTCTGAGGGGACAGCCCTTCCCAGGGCAGGCATCTTTATTATTCTAAAAACTGTTTGTGTTTTTATGGCAGCTTTGTTGAGTCTAAATCTGAACTTGTATATTTATGATTTCAACACTCTGGCAATAAACAATCCTCCTCTAACACAACTAGGATATTATGACAGTTTTCTAAGAGATGGAGATGAAGTACCTCGAGGAAAAGAGAGCCTTTTTCTAGTTCACCCAGCGGTGCAGTGTGCGCTTGCAGCGGCCTGGGTGAAAGAGCCCCCAGGACTGAGGGGAGCAGGGGTTGCCATGCAGAGTGGAAATCCCAGGGGACAACTTGACGGGAGGGCGCGAGGGCATCCCAGGGCACTTACAGGTTAGGAATGCCCTTGGTCGCCCAAATTCTGACTGTGCAGGGCTCAAGTAGGTATGTTATAGCCACACCTTTCTGAATGCACCCTCATAGGTTTGTGCAAACACCTGTGCTCTTGGTTCTTTCTTCCAGAGGGAGATTCATTTTCCCAGTCCCTGGCACCCTCTCGATCTTACCAGGAACCAGGCCGGAGACTTCACCTTATTCGTCAGCATCCTGGTCATGCCCACTACCACTTCCCTGCTTCCTACCTGCTGGGCCCTCCCCGGACTGCAGTGGCTCGGCCCCCACGACCTAGTCCCTTCCAACCCTCCCAGGAGCCAGGCACAGGCCCCCGGCACCACCGCCTCCCCAGAGCTGCACACCCCCTGGCTCCAGGCGAGCAGCAGCATCGGACAGCGACCCAGCACCCCTTTGCGCAGAGCTGGCGTCTGAGCCGCCTTCAGTGCACTGCACAGCACCCTGCCGTGTGCCCAGCACCCTCACGCCGGGCCAGGCCTCACGACAGCAGTGGGTCTGCAGAAAGCTACTGCACAGAGCGCAGCGGCTACCTGGCAGACGGGCCGGCCAGCGACTCCAGTTCGGGGCCCTGTCATGGCTCTTCAAGTGACTCCATGGTCAACTGCACGGACGTCAGCCTGCAGGGCATCCACGGCAGCAGCTCCACCTTCCGCAGCTCTCTGAGCAGTGACTTTGACCCCTTGGTGTACTGCAGCCCTGACGGGGAGCCTCGGGGGGAGGAGACTCAGCCCAGCGTGACCTCGCGGCCTCGTTCTTTGGAATCGGTGGTGCCCAGAGGGGAAGTCCAGGTTTCCAGCCACGTCCACTACCATCGCCATCGGCACCACCACTACAAAAAGCGCTTCCAGTGGCACGGCAGGAAACCTGGTGCTGAAACGGGGATCCTCGAGCCCCGGCCTGCTGTTCCTCGGACACAGCCCCAGCCGGAGCCCTCCTCTCCTGATCAGCAAGCTGCCAGATCCAACGCAGCAGCCCCTACTGGGCAGCTCCCCAACCCATCACAGCCCAGGGCCCTCCCAGAGCCAGCCCCAGACCTAAAAGATGCTGCCAGCCCCAGCCCCAGCCCCAGCCCCAGTCCCAGTCCCGGTCCCGGCAGCCTCTTCCACCTGCAGAAATCAGGCTTCCCTGTCCGACACCCACAGAGGAAACGGCGGGGGGCTCCCTCAGAACCTACCCCAGCCTCTCGGCCCCAGGACTTGACGGTACACCTCACTTGCCAGATTTCCCCCCATTATGACCCCAGCCTGGCATACCCTTGGCCCCCAGAGGCCCACCCATTGATCTTTGGACCTCCGGGCCTAGAAAGGAGGACGCTACCAGAAACCCCAGGCGCCTGTTACTCAAGTTCACAGCCAGTGTGGTTGTGTCTGACTCCACGCCAGCCCCTGGGACCACACGCACCTGGGGAAGGGCCTTCCAGATGGAGTTCTGGTACCCCAGAGGGCAGGCCATGCCCTTACCCACACTGCCAGGTGCTGCCAGCCCAGCCTGGTGAGTCTTCAGGGAAAGCGGGTGTGGTGGGGAGAGGAGAGGAGAGCTGTCTATTGCAGAACAAATGAGATCCAACGACCAGGGGTTGATGGGAGCTGAGAAGTGTACAACAGGGGTGACAGTCAAACTACCGAACTACTGCATTGTCTAGAATGCCGGCTGGAGCGCTTTGGCTCTGCCAGGTGTCATGCCTTGGTTATAGATCACAGGGAGGTCTCAGGGGAAATCTTAGCATGGCATAGATGTTAGAAAACACCTGGGGTGGAAAGGTCTGAGCTAGGACTTGGGACTCCTGAGCTGTGAGTGGAGCCGGGGTCAGGAAGTGTGGCTCTGTGTGGATGGGTCCAGGCCCTCCAGGGAGGAGGGAGTGGCCCTGGGTTCCTGGGTTCTGGCTAGACCAAGGTCAAGTAGACATGGTCAGGTTTCCGCCTCAGGTCCAGGTGAGAATTCTGTTCTAGACTGAAGTTGACCTTGTCAGGAGGGAGACATGTTCCTGGACATATTCTGAGGTGCAAAGTTATGGACCAGGCAGGGGTGTTACCAGAGAAAGTCAGAGGACCTTTTCCTGAGAGGGTCTGCCTAGGGCTGATGATACTGTATGTGTCCCTGACTTCCTGCAGAAAAATTTTAGATGTTTATTAAAGCTGGGGACAGTAGGACAAAGGAGGCCTGGGGAAATGAGCCTAGGCAGGGCTGCTTTGGCTCACTAAGAAGTCAGAGGAAAGGGGGCCTTGGGGACAGGTTCAAGGGGTTTGCCTGGGATGAACTGTCGCTGCCCATTGCTCTTCTGGTGGCAAGCCTCCTGGGGTCCCTTAGAGTTTAGGGGAAGCATGCCTGTGGGGGAAGAAGGAGTTGGAGGAGAAAGGCAAGGGGGTGCTCCTGGGAAGGAGAGTGCTTGCTGGGACCTTTGTTTGAGGGGTTTAAGACTAGGCGTTTAGGGGAGGACTTGGAGAATTTCAATAGGATAATCATCGGCTTTATGCTGATGTACCAAAATGAGATTTATTCTCTTAATCTCATCTGTCCTTGGGTGTGGTTGGCAAGTGGTACCCATTGGATTTTTGCTATCTGTCTCCCTGAGCAAAGTGATTTAAGCTATTTACACCTCTGATTGGGAAATAGAAGTGTAAATCATCTACTCTTTTTTCCCCCCCTCCAGAAAGAGGGAGTGGGAGCGAAACATCAATGATGAGAGATAATCATGGATCGGCTGTCTCCTGCATGCCTCCTACTGGAGATGGAGCCCATAACCTGGGCAATGTGCATGACCTGGGCATGACCAGGAATTGAACCCTGACCTCCAGGTTCATGGGTCGCCATTCAACCACTAACCAACACATGCTGAGCCCATTTACTCTTTTAAGTGTACTGCTGTCAGGGCCATCTTCCTCAAATCAGCCATCCAGAAATCCTCCAATGTTCTGTTTTGTCCATAGTAACAAAAAAAATCCAACCTGGTTCAAAGCTCTAGCACCATCTAGCATCCATCTTCCTTCCCACCCTTATTTTCCACTCTCCCCTTTCCCTTGCTTTGCTCCCCGCTTTAGCCAAACTGGTTTGACAGATGTTGCAGATTCTGCAGCGCGGAATATTCTGCTGCCTTCCTATTCCCATCATTCCAAATTCTTACGTGTTCCTAAAGGACCAGCTCCTTACTCCCCTGGGACATGCTCTCTCTCACTCCTTTCATCCCTCATGACCCCATTCCTGTCCCACTGGCACCATTGCCATTTGCACACAAGCCTCCTCTCCTACAAAGTAGCCGAGTCCATACAAAAGAGTAACTTTTTGGTCTTCAGTTTGGCACCTGTTCAAAGATTCAGATTCAAGAGTGCTTAATAAGTATTTATAGGATGAATGGATGAAGAGTAAACATCGGTAACACACTGGTTGCTATTATGTGTTTCTCTTTCTCTAGATTTATTTTTCTTCTTCCTGTATCCCAACTGGGGCCCCTCTCAGCTTTCATTCTAAACCCCCCCATTCTGAACACACTCCCTACTCCCCCCTCTCTGCGGTTCCCTCCCTGCCATCCTCTCCTGCAGGTAGTATACGCACAGGGGCTGTGTGACCCTCTGTGACCTCTTTCCTCCCCTCTCTTCCAAATGCAGGCTCGGAGGAGGAGCTGGAGGAGCTGTGTGAACAGGCCGTGTGAGATGTTCCGGGGTAATTACCTCCAACCAAGAGTGTGCTCTGGATGACTCAGGGCCTACCTGGCACAGAGTCCTGCTCCCGAGAGAAGAAAGGATCTCAGAAAACACCCCTCTTTTTGCCGTCCTTTCTGGAACCATTGGAAGGGGAGTGGGATGGTGGGTGGCAGGAGGTCTTGTTTCCTGCTCCCAGCTCCAGAGCTTGTCCGCAGCTCACATGTGCAGGGCAGCACGTCTGTGTCCGGCAGGGAAACAGCTACGGCCTGTGTGGGCTGGCTTCCCGGAAGGCTGTGTTCTGAGAGCAGGAAGCTCGGTATGGGTAGATAGGTGTTATAAAGGTGCTGCTCCTTCCCCCAGCCCCAGCAGGTCTCCCTTATCCCAAGCCTCATGTTCATACCAGACAACGTGTCCAGCCGATTTCATGACCCCCTCCTCACCTCCTTTCTTGGGTGAGTCCTGCACACCCATTTGGCTCCCCCTTGGGTAAGGCTGCTGCATCAGCGCCAACCTTGGCTCTTATGGTTTTCCTTTTATGCAAAAGGATCAAGAGCTGTGGTGACCCCTGAACCCTAAAAGTGGTGCGGGATGGGAGGACTCCCGGCAGTCCCCGAACCAGTACATGAGGAAATGTGTTTTTCCCTTCTTGTCCTTAATTTTCAGATACATGATATTAAGTCAGAAGGGAGGCTCTGGGAAGCCAGAGTGTGGGGTTCTCTCCCTGAGGTGGAGCTTCTGACCTCCAAGCTTCTTTGTCACTCCGGCAACCCTCCCCCGCCCCCCCCACATTTCTCCAGGAGTTGGGGGGGGGGAGGGAACGGGAGAGGATAACTTCCTTGGAGATCTCCCATGTCAAAGTCCCAAAGTGGGCGGAACGAAGAGGATTTCTTTTGGACTTCATCTAGAAAGAGGGAAGATGGAATAAAAGTAAAAAAGGCAGAAAGACAGCTGAACAAGGACAAGGGATTCTTGTCTGGGAGTCTTCTCTCAGTAGGGATAGGGAACAGGAGAGAACAAAGGAACAGCAGAGTGGGACCCTTGGGTTTAGATGTCCCCAGAGGCTCATTTCCCAGTATAAGCCATACAGGCCACGGACACACGGGAAGGCGTGAGTGCGGGAGTAGATTTCGAGCAGGAAGTCTGGTCTGAGTAGCTGGTACCGATTGGGCAATGGCTGAGGGGCCTCCTTGGGGTGACATTCACCCCAGGGCAGCCTGACCATTGCTGGCCCCTCAGGCATGATCCCATTTGGAATGTGAATGTGGGAGCAGAGCGGGCATAGGACCCCCCCTGGGAATGTTCCTCCCGCAGAGTCAGTGGGGAACTGGTACTGAGGCACCCCCATGGTTATTTATATCTGAACCAGACAGAGAGACGCTTGAATCAGGCACTATGTTGAGAAATGTATTTATTTGCTAATATATTTATCCATAAATGCAGTCTTGGTCTCGTGGCTTTTTTGTTCTGTTATGACTGTCACCCAGGGTGACACCTGTGTCTTCTATGTCAACAGAAATAAATTGTGGTATCAGAGGCTCGACTCTGACATGTGAAAGTACAGGGTAGAATGGGGGGCTTGGCAACGAGAACCGGGCTATAAGCCCCTAAACACATGGTTCAGTGGAGATCAGGGAAGGAGGAAGGATGACTGGATTTCTCACGGTGGTTCAGTCTGAATTATTGGGGTGCAATTTGCATCACACACTAATTTATGACACATCAGCCACTTTCTTTGTGACTTTGGGTTAGTACTCTGTGCCTCACTTTTCCACCCATAAAATGGGCCTACGTCACAGTTGTTGCAGAGCTCCCCTGAGATAGCAGAGAGAATCTATGTTCCAAAGGGGAAAGTAACCAGTGATAGAGGACATGCACTCAACCTGGGACCCCACCTGCACACAGCCTGGGACCCCACAACAAGCAGGCCTGCCTTGAAGCTGTTTCAATTCGGAGGCCTGGCTGCGAGGACAGAACAGCAGGGCCTGAAGCTGTCTATACCCAAAGCTCCAACCAGATAAACACCCATGGCTGTGTTCTGCTTCCACACCAACTTTTGTGGGTCAAGAGACCTGGTGCAATGTCAGCATGAAATCCCACAGGGCCCTGAGCCCTGGCTCTCCACCTAGCCGTACACATCCCTTCTGCTGCTCTGGGAAAGGATTGGTAGGGGTGGTGGCTGCCTGGTGTCAAATCTTGAACCACAGACAGAGCAAAGCATTTAGCTTCCTACAGGGTAAAATGAAAATAACAACACAACAACAACAACAACAATAATAATAAAAGGCCCCTAATCTCGAATATGTTCTGAAGTCTACATGCTAAAAGCATAAATTATCAGCTGGAATGAGGGAACGAACGTAGAGTTTAAAAAAATAAATATGCATTTCCCCCCCTGCCCTGCTGGCCCCTCACAGGCCAGCCAGCATTCCTGTGGACGGCAGATGGACAGCTGACAATGCTCTCAGTCAGGAGGGAGAGGGCTGTCCCTGCATTTCGTTTCGCTCTCTGCAGAGATGATCGAGGGGGAAGACCGTGGACTCTGGCCCTGCACTTTTAAAAAGCGGGAGGACAAAAAATAAAACCAGCTCTCATCCTGGATCCTCCTCAAAGACCTGGCGCGCGGCCTGGTGCCAGCGCCGAGATCAAATGGCCCGCGCCGCGGCGCGTCCCCGCGCAGGCGCCAGCGGCGCCGCCCCGCCCCGGGCCCCGCCCCGGGCCCCGCCCCCAGGCCCAACGGCCGCCCCGCCCCGCCCCGCCCTCGTGCCCGCCCAGGTGGCGGGGGCGCGCGCTGGCCCAGGTGACTGCCGGCCAGCCCCGCCCCCAGGCGGGAGAAACCATTTCCTAAGGCCGGGGGTAGGGGCGGGGCTGCGGCCTCTTGGACCGGAAGCAGACATCTCAGGAACCGGAAGTGACAGGCATTCTGGGTAATTCCCTGTTTATATTCGGCGGAGAAGGGTGCTGTGGCAGCATTTCCCTGTTCTGTTTCAGTCCAGAGGATGGCTCTGGAGACGGTGCCCAAGGACCTGCGGCACCTGCGGGCTTGTTTGTTGTGTTCGCTGGTCAAGGTATGTGTCGGGACCTGGTTGTTGGGTGAGTGGGGACCTGGGGGGAAAGCTGGGGGTGCAGGAAGCAGCTGGAGGCCATTGTTTACATCGGTAGGAACAGATCTTACAGTCGAATGCAGGCTCGGACGGTCTTACATGCCTTTGAACCCTCAATTCTTAGCGCAGGCCTGACCCTTACCAGACCTTCAGTGAACTTCTGTGGGGTCTGAATGACACTGGGAGCCAGAAATGGGATCAGTAGCAGAGGGAGTAGATGGAGAGAGTACCTGGTCTTGAGACTAGGGAAAGGGATAGAAAAGCACAATTGGGAGCCAGGGCAGAAAGAATGTGAGGATGACATTTCGGGACTGTGGGAGTGGTGAGTGGGGGACCTCTGTCTGATGAGACAGCCAATATAGGCGGGTCTTACATTTGACCAGGTAGAAGTGTGGAGAAAGCTGCTTTTTCTTTTGGTCTTGTTCACACTTATCTTCTTAAAATTCTTCCCTCATAGACTATAGACCAGTTTGAATATGATGGTTGTGACAATTGTGATGCATACCTTCAAATGAAGGGTAACCGAGAGATGGTATATGACTGCACCAGCTCTTCCTTTGATGGGTAAGTCCCGTTAGGTTTCTTTATTCACTTCTACATTACACTGCTAAATGAATGGGGTAGACTTTTTTTTAAATCCTCATTCGAGGGTATGTTTTTATTGATATTTTTAGAGAGAGAAACATTGAACAGTTGCCTCCTTTATACACCCAATGGGGGATTGAACCTGCAATCTAGGTATGTGCTTTGACCAGAAATTGAACCCAAAACCTTTTGGTGTACGGGACGACGCTCTAACCTAGCCACCCAGCCAGGGCTGGGGCAGACTTTTGATATAATTCTGAATCATATCAAAGTTATTTGAGACACAATGTCCACTACAGTAGCCACTAGCCATGTGTGGTTTTGAGCATATTAAATATGGCTAGTCCAAATTGAGATATGCTTTAAGTGTAAAATATACAGATTTCAAAGATTTAGTACAAGGAAAGAAAATGTAAAATAGCTTGCTTTTTAATTAAATGCCTAAGTGATAACACTTTGAATATATTGGGTTAAATGAAATGTATTATTGGAATTAGTTTTATTTTTTTAATCTTTACTGTTTTAAGAATGGCTACTAGAAAATTTAAAGTAACTAGTGCAATTTTCATTATATTTCCACTGGCCATTTCTCCACTAGACTGTGAGCTCACTGATGGTAGTGTAGGGATTGTGTTTATCTTGTATACCAGGACCTGGCAAAAGGCCTGGAAGATTATGGATGCTTAATAAATGTTTGTTGAATGCACGAGGATCCTTTTTGAAATTGAAGAGGAGGGAAAGTACAGTGATGGTAAAATATTGCCCCAAAGTTTTTTTAAAAAAAATATATTTTATTGAGACTTCAAATTTATATTATTTCTAATGGGGAAAAAAGTGATTCAGTTTTCAAACAAATTGCTTCTCAAACACCCTTCTGGGACAAATTAAATTCAAGAAATGAGGTTCCACTGTACTTGTTAAAGTTCCTTCAAGGTGGACTAACTTCATTCCTTTTTTAATTCTTTTAAGGTAATCTCTTCCTTAATTTCTTAACACTGTTTTGTTGTTTTTTTTTTTTTTTTTTTTTTAAACAAACAATCCGCTCAACCACTGAACGTCAACCTATGAACTAGGAGGTCAAGGTTAAAATCCTGGTCAGGGCACATGCATGGGTTGTGGGCTTGATCCCCAATAGGGGGAGTGCAGGAGGCAGCAGATCAATGATTCTCATTAATGTTTCTATCTCTCTACCTCTCCCTTCCTCTCTGAAATAAATAAAAACATATTAAAAAATAAAATAAATGAACAGCCTGGCTGGTGGGGTTCAATGCTTGAGTTTCAACCTGTGAACCAAGAGGTCACGATTCCATTCTTGGTGAGGGCACATGCCTGGGTTGTGGGCTTGATCTCCCAGTAGGGGCCTTGCAGGAGGCTGCTGATCAAAGATTTCCATCATTGATGTTTCTATGTTTTCCTTTCTCTCTCTGAAATCAATAAAAACATATTTTAAATAAATAAAAAAAAATAACCAACAGGCCAAAACGGAGTCACTTTTGCTAAGCTATGGCACCAAACCAAAACTTACTAAACAACCTAATCAAAGTTTCAATCAATCCTGGGTTCTGGGCTTCTACTCTTTGAACTGCTGTGCTGGCTGGGAACAGAGTAAAGGGGGAAGCTCCTCCCGTTTTTCTCTGTAGTAGGCGAGGCTCTGGCTGACTGTTTCTTTTCTCTTCCCAGAATCATTGCAATGATGAGTCCAGAGGACAGCTGGGTCTCCAAGTGGCAGCGAGTCAGTAAGTATTTCCCTTTGTCCTTATCCTGAACTAGTGTTGTCGCTGCCTCTTGGTCTGTTGGGGGCAGGGGAGGGGTGCAAGGGTGGGTCTTAAATTAGTGGGTAAGTGGCCTCAAAAGTGAGAAAGACAGGTTTGTAGGACAGACAAGGAAAGTATCCTGTGTCCTGTCATTTAATATTTTATTTTTTTATTAATACTCAACAGAGAGAATAGAAGGAAGAGGAGGAGTGGGGAGAGGGAGGGAGAGAAAGGAGGGAGGGAGGGAGGGAGGGAGGGAGGGAGGGAGGGAGGGAGGGAGGGAGGGAGGGAGGAACAAACTTCATTTGGTTGCCTCCCACCAGGAATAACTCATTACCCCGCAATGCATGGGCCGATGCTCTAACCACTGAGAACACCTGTCAGGGCTGTCATTTAATATTTATAGCCAGAAGTGTAGCATTATTTTTATTTTTAGCTTAAGCCTCTATTTGGTCTTTAATCTTAACTCACTCTCACTGCAGCCTCTTTTTTTCTCTTTCAGGTAACTTTAAGCCTGGTGTGTATGCAGTGTCAGTCACTGGTCGTCTGCCCCAAGGTAATAATCATCATAATATATGCCAGTGTTTATTTACTGCACCAAGCTCTGTGGAGTACTTTATGTGACTTATCTCCAGTCCTCATTTCTGAGGGAATCCAGGCTCAGTGAGGTTAACCCATTGTATGCCATAAGCGTCTGTAGATGCAAGCGGAAGACCTTCCCCACACGCCATGTGTGTCTATAAAATAAAAAATAAAAAATTTTTCCCTAAGAGGCAGCCCTGACCTACTTTAAAATCATCTTTCATGAGAATTTTTAGCTGAAAAATATTCAAGAACACCCAAATTGTAACACATTTATTTTTATAATATTTATTGCAAATTGATTTTTTAAAATTAAATTCAAAATATCGTGGCTTGTGGGGATGGTTTTCATTTTGGACTCGTGGTAGTTAACTGGTTGAATAATTTGCCCAAAGTTACCCATATAGTAAGTAGGGAGACAGAACTTTAACCCAGGCATTCTGACTCCAGAATCCTTGGCTTTTGACAACTGCAATGTGTCTTTTTTTTTCTTCTCATTCTTACCAAGTCATTACCACATACTTGTCTGGATCTTCAGTGGTAACAAGCTAAGGACTTTCAATGAGCAGTCTAGGGATTCCTCCCTGTCCCCAAAGTGGTAGCTGAAGGACCTTTCCTATCTTTACTCACAGTACCATTTTCATTTTCAATCACAGGAATCGTGAGGGAGCTGAAAAGTCGAGGAGTGGCCTACAAATCCAGAGACACAGCTATAAAGACCTAGCAAGATGCATGGCCAGTGTCTTGCCACTGCCTCCTGCCTCTGCTTATTTATTGTTATGAAACTAAGTGGACAGAATTTCAAATACTCCTCACTCTTCAATTCTGAGGCTCAACGGACGGATGAGAGAGCAGCACAGCGTGTTCCTGGGCCATTTTACCTTCTTTGGACTTCTAGTTGGGGTAGGAGTGGTGTGGGTGATGGATTAATAGAGTGAATTGAGTGTGGGGTAGGATGTTTTTTTCCTACCCACACCTACCTACCAAGCTGCCTCCTTGCCCATGGCCAGGACTCTATATCAAATGCCAATAAACGTGAATCCATAGCCTATGATCGATGTGTCTTGCCTCCTGAGCTGGACACAGTAGGAACTCTCATGCCCTTTAAACACCTTCCCAGAGCAACAGAGGCCCCTGCGTCTCTGAGCCTCCAGGTTACAGCATTGTAGTGTGCTTCCATTGGCTTCATTGGAAGGTCCGCTGTTTGGAGTCTAGACAATCCCATCAGGTAGGCCTGTTGTCTGGGGATTGCCACCCTAGACCTAGCACAGCAGGTGTCCCTTAGAGGAATCCTGAGAGTTGATATTTTTTTACTATTTGGCCATGTTTAATACTTTTTATCTTCTCTACCTTGTCTGTTTTCTTTTTGCTCTTCTCCCTATACCTTAGGTCAGCCAGTGGCACCCATGACGTCCCCTTTCCCCAGTTATCCCCCTAACTGGAGATCCTCAGGTGGCTGCTGGGTCTGGCCTCTATAGGAAGGGGGGCTGCTCCCTTTCTCCTCTGACCTAGTAGAGGGTCTTAAAATGATGCCATGTTATCAATGAGTTGTTTTGGAATTAAAGATTTACCATAAATCCTGAATTTCTTAAATTTCTATAGAACATCTGGTTAGTGCCCCCATTTTAATTTCCCTAGATTTCATGTTCTCCATCTGTAAATGAGAATGATTCCTCTGCCAATTTACCTCAGGATTGTTGTGATTATAAAAATGAAGCAATGGGGAAATTCTACAACTTGTTTTGTAAAAGTTACTAGGGGCCCAGTGCACAAATTCGTGCACCTTGAAAGGAACTGTGTGCCGCGAGGCTGCAGTGGGCACAGGGGTGGATCTTGGCCCATCCTCTGTGCCCCTGCCCAGCCCCTCCCGTCATGGCCCTCAGTCCCCAGTCTAATGGCAGCCCCACTCCCACCACCACTCCCACACATTGATGGCACTGGCTACACTCATATCTGCTGATGATGCAGAGCAATTGAGTCTGGCACCAGCAGTGGGTGCGAGCGGGGCTGGTGGCATCAGCAGGTGTGAGCTGTGGCTGCTGCCCCGATCTCCTCTCGGGAGCAGGAGGAGGTGGAGAAGCCCTCAGGGTTGATTAGGGCCGGCAGATGCCGCTTGCACCCCCTGACAGCACCGAGCGCCGGGACCAGCGCGGGGTACTGGCAGCGGGTATGAGCAGTGGCTTTGGTGCCGACTGCAGGTGCGAGTGGGACCATCGCTGGCAGTGGGTTTGAGGGCCGGGTGGGAATGTAGTATGCAGGAACAAAGAATTTTCAGTAACCACCAGAGGCTCGCCCCGATGACAGCGACCAGCACCCTGCCTTAGTTGGCTCACCTACTCCACCATCCTGCTGTGGCTGACCCCCACCATGAACTACACTGCTGCCTGTCCCCCGATACCCTCCATGTTCCACGCCGTGTCCCCTGGTGTTCAGTGCATGTCATAGTGGTCAGTTGTTTGGTTGTTCTGCCATTTGGTCTATTTGCATATTAGTTTTATTATATAGTACTAAAGGTCCAGCCTGCACCCTCTCCAATCTGGGACCCCTCAGGGGATGTCTGACTGCTAGTTTAGGCCGGTTTAGGGATCAGGCCTAAATTGGCAGTCTGAACTCACTCTCACAATCTGGGACCGCAAGCTCCTAACCGCTCACCTGCCTGTTGGCCTGAACGCCCTAACCACCTCTGCCTCAGCCCCTGCCACTGTGGCTTTTGTCCAGAAGTAGGATCAGATGACCGGAAGATGTCCATTCGATCTAGTCTAATTAGCATATTACCCTTTTATTTGTGTAGATATTAATCAGCTCTCTTTTTATTAGCAATTCTTCAATATAAACAATATGTGTGCTGAAACCAGTTTGGCTCAGGGGATAGAGCACCGGCCTGCGGACTCCGGCCTGCGGACTCCGGCCTGCGGACTGAAAGTTCCCGGGTTCAATTCCGATCAAGGGCATGTACTTTGGTTGTGGGCACATCCCCAGTGGGGGGTGTGCAGGAGGCGGCTGATCGATGTTTCTCATCAATGTTTCTAACTGTCTATCCCTCTCTCTTAAAAAAAACCAAAAAACACCAATATGTGTAGTCAGTCAAAATAGTGGGGGAGCCCTAGCTGGTTTTGCTCAGTAGATAGAGAGTTGGCCTATGGACTGAAGGGTCCCAGGTTTGATTCTGGTCAAGGGCACATGCCTGGGTTTCGGGCTCAATCCCCAGTGGGAGGCATGCAGGAGGCAGCCAATCAATGATTCTCATCATTGATGTTCCTCTATGTGTGTGTGTGTGTGTGTGTGTGTGACTTCCTCTCTGAAATCAATAAAAATATATTTTAAAAAAATAGTGGGGGAAATGCCCAGAACCACCACTGCAGGGTGCACTCTGACTCACTAGCAGAGGTGCCTGCATCGGGCTTTGTGTCTCTTAACCACCTGGTGTTGCTAGTGAGTCGGTGTCTTGATGTCTTAGTAACCTGTGGCCTAGAGTGTGGGAAGGAGGGAGAGATGCTGACTCAAGGGATCCCCACCTCCCACCCCCGTTCCTTGTCCTCAGAGGCCCATGGAAAGGAAGCTGGAATTGGCCCAGCTGCTCGTATCACCCCTCACAAGTCCTTAAAGCAGAATAATTTTCTCTGATGCCTTCAAATGCTGAGGGAATGGTCTGTGAACTCTTAATTCCAACTGGATTTTTCAAGGAGTTTCCCAAGCCCAGCAAGTTAAAAGAGCTCCAGGAGTGATGGTTTCTGTTGTCGTATCCATGTGAAAGCTTTGGGAAGTAGCCCCATCAGCCTGGAGCTTACGCCCCAGAGGGGAGAAGTGGGTTTCGGCAAGAGTGCCTAGGCTGTGCAGCCAACACCCAACTTTCACTGGCTTTCTCAAAAAGTCCCTTGGAAATCCCCGATTGCTGTCCTGCGTGTCTGACCCGGACGTGGCTGCCTGGTGAGAATGGAAACAGTTGTGGGGAGGGGAGGCAAGAGGAGCCGCACACGAATAACCACACTCAGGCTGCCTCAGCTCCACAGCGCTGGGGCCTTAACTGTCAGCCTCGCAGGAAGCGAAAGACGCAAGTGCTGGTGGTGGTGGGGGAGGGGTGGCCAGTTGCAGTGACCGGATTTGGGAGCTGCTTCGCAATTTGCTCTCTTGCTCTCTCTGGTCTTTGAACCTGCTTGTGGCGCCTCTCAGCAGCCCAAATAGGTCATAAGGTTCTGGAGCTGCATGCCTTGCTGGGAGCCCACAGAAGCTAAAACGGGGGCTGTTGGTTCTCCAGGGCCCCCTGGGGGAGAGCAGTGCTGTGGGGGAGAGCAGTGCTGTGCGGAAGAGGTTTCGGGTGCCAGTACTGCTGTTCCCACTACGTGCCTGTCAGAATTTCCACTTCACTCTGACAGTTGGGGTCCCACATCTGCCCGGGGCTTTCTTTGGTCTCTTACTCTTGTTGGACTTCTCTGCAGAAAGGCAAGGCTCCGCCCTCGTTTAACCAGAACAGACTCAAATCAGGCAGATTAGAAACCGAGCGGTGACCAGGCTGCCTTCCCCTCGCCCGCACATTCCTCATTCTCCACTCTCCACCCACCACAGGCTGTGGGGTTAGGGTGTCCCAAAAACGGGTTAGGAGCCCGTGTATTGCTGAATAGAACAAGGGTCGAAACATTCTGACCTTGGAGGGGACCAGTTTCCCAAGAGGAAAGGGGATGGGCTGACGAAGGCCTAAACTCACTGGGTTCTTCAGGGTTGGGTACTGAGGCATGGCCACCACCTTCTAGCTCTCAGACTGTCTATATAACCTGTTCTTTAATCCACAAGTCCCCTCCTGACACCTGATCTGTAGAAAGAGACAGGTAATGTTGAAGAACAGACTAATAATGTTGAAGAACAGACTAATAATTTGTCTGGGAGCCTGGTTCAGGCTCAGTATCAGGGAAGCCTTTTGTTTAAATAGCATTTTACAGTAGACAAAAGGTCTCTTATGTCCATTATCTTATTTGATCCCCACAAAACCCGTGTGTTATAGGTAACACCCTATGTAGTGATGAAGAGACTGAGGTGCAAAGAGTTAAAGGGACTTAGTTATGATCAAGTAGTAGAGGCTTAGCTCCAAAAACATATTGCCCACACTCAGTTTAGGGCTGCTGTTTCCGACATTATCCCTAACTGCAGCACATGCTCCCTTCGTGAATATTCCACAGAACCAGCGTGAGGCATTAGCTTGAATGAAAGTTACATGTCCCTGCAGGTTGAGCATCCCTACCACCCTACGCCCAACACCTACATCTCTAGTCCCCACATCTAAAGTTAGCCAAAGGCAGGGAGGCAGTGTGGGAACATGGCCCACGAAGGAAAACCATAGGATTTTGAGTGTTGGGAAACTTGTGTTGAGTATTGGAGACACTGGTCAGTCCTCCAATTCCCTCCTGGCCGAGTCATGCTTTCCACCCCAGCAGCTCCTACGTATCTGCTGATCTGTGCCCCATACCCTCTCACCTCTCCTGCTGCAAATGACTAATTATATCTACTTGCCACTTCCCTCCATCTCCAGCCCAGTTATGGCACCTTCACGCTCCACCGGAACCCTGAGACCCCTGTGATGAAAATACACGCAGCCAACGAGGGGCACTGTCCCTGCCTCCCAGCCCTGCTGCCTTCACCACCCATCAGCCCTGACTTTTCTAAGTCACTTTACTTCTTCAAACCCAAGTTTCTTCTCTTTCAACAATGCAGTTGAAAAACAAAACAAAACAA